GTTTAGGGTTTAGGGTAGGGCTTTTAGGGTTTAGGATTTCTAGGGTTTCGGGTAGGGCTCTGGCGTTTCCAGGGTTTAGAGTTTAGGATTTAGCGCATAGCGGTAGTAAGAGCTCGAAAAAGGATCGATAATGTAAGGGATCTATAACATAAGGGGCTTATAGGGTTGTAGCGGGACCTTGGTAGGGCTTTGGGGTTTAATGGGGTTTAGGGTTTAGGGCCATAATATACAAGTTCCGAACGTTTGATCCTACGTGGTTTGAAGGCCACATCGCAACCCTAAGTCCCAAACCCTTCAAAACCCCCCCGAGCCCTACAACCCAAAAAAAGGAAGCTGCAACCCTCAAGCCCAAACTCAGGAACACCAAAGTCCCGAAAGAAATCCTAAAAGCCCTAAGCCCTAAACCCTAAAGGAAATCCTAAAAGCCCTAAGCCCTAAACCCCAAAGGAAATCCTGAAAGCCAGGCTGCATGGGAGTCCAAGAACGCTCTGATCTCCTCCGAGCCGAACCCAGAGAGCCTAATACCCCGTTAATTAAGGAATATGATTATTATTGCTCCTATTACTATTATTATTATTATTACTATTACTATTATTACTATTATTTGCTAATATCACTACTATTACTATTACTAGTACTATACCTTAAATCATAATATTAGGGCCCCTACAGTTTGAGGTGTATTCCTTACTTAAGGGGTATTGGGCTCTCTGGGAAAGAGACTACTTGGGGTGCTAGGGTCCGCTCGCTCTTTTATTTTTTGGGGGGGGCTTTAGGGTTTGAGGTCCTAGATTCTGCTCGCTTTTTTTTTGGGGGGGGGGGGCCTTCAGGGTTTGGGGTTTAGGGTTTGGGGGGCTTAGGCTTTGGGGGTTTGCGGCTTAAGGTGTCAAAGTTTGAGGTTCAAGGTTTTGGACTAGAATATAAATACATACGAGAACTTGAGAATAGTGGCGTGAGAAAGGAAGAGTACTCGTGACTAGTGACGAGGATGGTACGAATGATAGAAGTAGCCTAAATCCCACACCCGGAGCCCTAAAACCCTGCGCACCGAGACTCAGACCCCAACAACCGTTAAATAGGCAACAGATTGCGCTGCAGAGATCCTGAGTTTGGAGTTGAAAAGACTCCGATTTTTGAGGAAAGTCAGGCTTTGCAGACTTTGGGGTTGCGGCTCTTGGGTTGAGGGCTTTGGTTTATCGAAACTCTTCGGGCAAACGTTCGAAAGAGATCAGTGTGCAGTACGGCAACTCAAATCTTGAGTCATCTTAGGGTTTAGGGTTTAGGGTTTAGGGTTCATCTTAGATGCTGGGATCAAAAGCCAGGCTTGTAGATTATACTAATATGTGGCATGGGGTCCATTGTAAAGATAGATAGTGTTCCCTAAACCCTAAACCCGTGGCCATATAGACCCTAAACCCGAGGCCCTATAAACCCTAAACCCGAGGCCCTTTTGAACCTAATTGTTTGGCAAGCGCAGCCTGTGCGCGGCAGTAGGGCCCACCACATAGGCTGGGTGTCTCCCCAACCTTTGGCTGCTGCGGATGAGGAAACTGGGTTCTTGTTACGGGATTTAATTTAAGTTTCCATTATAGGGAGCTATAGTAAATAATATGGGTTCCTTATTATGGTAACTTAAACTAAATCTCTCAACAAGAACCCAGGAAAGGGCAGCACTAGGGTCAAGCCCGACTAGTCCAACGAACTCCGCTTCCCGTATTTTAGATACTCTGCACTCGGCATCTGCCGCAACCTGAGGAAAATCGAGCACTTTTGTCCGAGTCGGCCGTCAGCTTGCCGCCGTACTCCAGCTTTTTCTCTCCACTTTCCCTTGTGCACCGTTCGCACAGGCACGCGAAGCCGCGCGTCTGCAGCAGATGCTGCTGCCTCTCTGAATATTGCAGCTCCAGAAAGGCCTCTCGTTCGTAGTTTCGGGTGAGAAGCTCGCCCTTGCAGATGTCCCTGATCGCTCGCACCAGGACCTCCCCGGTGGAGAACAGCACCCCGACGGCACAGTTGGGTGCACATGAATGCTGCAGGAAGGAATGCAACCTATACAGGCCCGAGGCCGGAGGCACAGACATGCGCTGAGAGTTGCACTGCCATCGCGCGAGCACCCTGGCGATCTCCTCCACGGAATTCTGTGAATCCGCCAAGTGGGCCGCCTCTTCCATGCACTTCCCTTCGAGGCCTCCAGTGGTGAGCTCTTCGAAAGCGCTTTGGAGTCTTTCTCCTTCGGGGTGCGCTTGAAGATCTCGAAAAGCGGCCAGCCGGGACCGCGCCAGATCGCTGCGGTCGGCCACCAGGAAGGGTAGCTCCTGAAAGACCTCGCGGTTTCGCGAAATGTCGACCGTGGCTTCTAGAGCTTTGCCCGCCAAGGCCGTCTCAGTCACACCGACTTCTTTGGGCATTGCGAGATTGCCCAAAAGGAGGGCCTCCGGCAGCAAGCAGTGGTCCACGAGGAAGCCTCGCTCCTCCGAGCCCTCTGCCAGGACCGCCCGGCCGTCCCTGAGCCGCAAGCTCCAACGCCACTCCTGGCTCCGGAAGTCCAGAATTTCCTGGGTTCTTGTTGAGGGTTTTAATTGTTGGTATCATAATAAGGAAACCCCATTATTTACTTTAGATCCCTATTATGGTAACTTAAGGGTTTTTTTTACAAGAGCCCAGCTTCGCAGGGCTCCTCGCAGAGCTCCGCCCAGGCGGGGCCCCTCAAGCGCCCCACGCTGCCACGGAAGACGGCCCTCCCATTTCCGTGCAGCAGCAGACAAGGAGGCGCTCCGGAGCACAGACAGAGCACCAAAAGCGCAAGGGCAAAGCCCCGAAAGCTTCGATCGGCCATGACCCTCCCTTCCGAGCTGCGGAGCCCTGCCTTTTCCACACCAAGCTCAACCTCAAGGCCCTGTCTTTCCACATACCGTTGATGATATAAATCCTTAGCATTACCTTAGGGACCCTAAACTATGGGAATTAGGGTATAAACCCCCACTAAAACCCCTAAACCCCTACTAAAACCCCTAA